TGGGGGAGAGCTGGGAGCTCTTCATTCAACATCACATTTACCTGTCCACAGCCTATGCCCTCAGTTTATGCCTTACATCCTTAATATATTATCATGAACAGCAAAAAAGCACAAATAGGGACTGGAGAGCAACATCTTTGGAGCCATCTTCCAAGACTTGGGGTCCTTGTAGGTTGGCTTCCATTAGGCACACAAGTTAGTGCGGTTTGTGTATCTAACTCTTCCCTTGCCTCCCATATAAACTTGATTAAAAAGTAACTCATGTCCACATTTCTCTATTGTTTCTCCTACCCTTTGAGACTGAAGGTAACGAAGATGCTGCCAGCAGTTTGGGATTATGTCTCAAAAAGATCAGACCTGGGGGTTCTTTGACCCTAATGTGGAAGAACATTTTGCTCCCACAGCAACATCAGATTGTTCCATCTGAGAAGACCACGTGGCTGTCACCCTTAGGGCAGACAGGAGCCATCAAGGGGGTAATGGTGCTCTTTAGACCTTTATAATTCCAGAAAGGTTCTCTCAGGTTCATTCCTGAGTTTCTGCTCAAGAGTGCCTCAATTTCACCTGAATTAGATGGAATATTAATGTTTGTATCTTTTCCTCCCAAAACAACACTTGAGGAAGGAGGATATCAAGTAGCTTTTGTCCCTCCACACTCAAAGAAACAAGACTTTTAGATGATGTGACTGCCAGAAAACAAGATGGCAGCAGATACAGTCAAGCAGTACTATTCCCAAGAGAGGGCCACCTCTCGTTAGCAGGAACCACACCAGATCCCAGGCTGCAGCAGCGGATCCACTAAGATTTTCTGCCATTTTAAAAAATCCTTGCAATGGCCACTTAAAGCTCTAGTTGCACCTCGATCACTCCCCACCCAAGGCAGAAGCATCCAAAAATGCTGCTGCCTTTTATAGTGATGTGCCATCACCGCTCGTCTGTCTGCAAGGCAACGTGGAAGGTGATCTGCTGAGCAGCTGGACTCCTTCAGCTCTCTGCACATCTCCACCTCCTGCCTGTCTCCCGATCTTTGGCACCTTCTCATTTCTTGAAACCTCCAGTGCAATGGTGGCAAAAAATCCCAGCCCACCCCGCACAGAGCGCCCAGCCACCAAGGACAAGAGACACAGGGGCACCATGCAGTCCCTAGGACGTGGCTCACACAAGTTCCCAGCTCCAAATGCCACTGACACACCATCAGAGCATGGCTGCGCAATGTGGACCAAAAATCCAAACTTGCCTTTCCAAACACCTACACAGGACAGGATATTTTACATTTCTTATTTTCTGCTCGGTGCCCTTTTTGCCCCATTTGGCTTAAATATAATTGAATAAATTTTAACTAGACAATTTCATAGCATATGACCCGGTATTTGCGGTTTGATTTTTTTTTTTTTGTTTTTCAGTGAGCGACTAAAATCTCTCCCCTAAACACCTAAATGAAGTGAACTTTTATTAGGAAATTATTTTTAAGTTCATTAACTCCAGTTAATATTTTTCAACTATCTGCTTGGTTATCCTTATAAAGCATTATTAGCCATGAGATTGATGGCATCACTAAGTAGGCAACTATTTAAAAATTAATCTGGATTTGCATATCAAAATGACCGGAAGATATATAAGTCCATTAAAAAAAAAATGTTTACGTATCAGTAAAAAGTAATCAGCTCATACATCCAAAAGTTTGAGACATTGATTCAATGAAAGGAAGGGGTGTACAAGTCCAGATGCTTTACTACAAAAAAAGCATATTCAAACATCAGGACGAAAGCTTTTATGACAGTTTTTATCTATTTGAAGTTGTAACTATCTCAAGAACTCTCTGATATAGCAGATGTTAAAATTAATTTCCTCTTGAGATTCATAATCTGACATAAATTAGTCAAACTGGCCAGGAACCATGAAGAAAATTTCTGAAAAAGAACCACCATGTTGGGAGACCAGATGTAAACTTGATCTTTCCTGTGGTTTATTTCAGTGAAAGAAAAACTTGGCTTTATTGCATTCTTATACTGATAGATCTATAAATAAGAGAAGCATCTTCTGTATTAGTGTACAGATGGAAGTGTTGTATCTTTCACTTTTCTATAGACTCAAAACAAAATTCAATGCTGCACTGAATTTATTAGTGCTCTTTAGACTGCACACATACGCAATAATACTACCTTTGAATAAAAGGTTACAAAATGAATCAGCAAAACAGTTTTCTGCTAAAAACTTATCCAAATGTGAACAAAAAAATCCATTACCTATATTTCAACATTAGTTACCTCTTAATGTGGAATACAAAATTTTCAAAGATGATTTCAGAGTGACTACAAAAAATACTATTGTTTGATTAAGTTTACTTACAAGAGTAAAGCATATTTCCAATTTCCTGCACAGCAATATTGAGACCCTGAGAAATTAAGAGTTAGGTTTAAACTTACAGAAATAGGTCTTCCACCTCCCAACTCCCTGCTGTTAGTATTAGATTGCATTGCTACAAATTGATGTGCCTTAGTCATTTCATTGGTGTACTCACCAACTTGCACAAAGCCACCTCACACATTTTCAAAGCCCGAGACATCAGCAATAACTTTATTGCTATTGCATGAGCCATCAGATTCAAAACTAAACAAAATAAAAGCCAAAGGGGAGGTTCACCTCCTGCTGTATGGCATGGAGCAAATAACATCTAGCTTAAGATGACTAATTGAAGGTGGTTGTATGGGACTGCAGAGAACTTTAACTTACTCAGAGGTTCAGCAGTAGTAGGCCTTGAAGAACACTAACCAGTTGGAGCACACATGCGGTGACAGAAGCATGACTGGCTCACTGAGTCACGTTTTACTCCATTCTCCAGCCTCTGCCTAAAGAATCAGTTAACACTTCAGTCCATGACTAACAGAGACATTTCTATACAGGCTGAAAAATTACATCAAAATTCACAAACTAGTGTTTGATGATGAACAGCAAATGCTTCATTCCGTTAATGCCGATCCTAACTCAATATGTTTACTCTTCAGCAACAATGTATTTTTTAAGTGTTCAGACTGGGCAGGGGGCTAATATCAATCAGGAACAAAGCACAAAAAGGAACTGTTAACACTAACCTCCCTACAAAATATAAAATTTGCTTCACTTCCAATTCAGACTGCCTGATGACATGGCAAAAATTGCCTGTATGCCTTGCTACCATTTCTAGGCTACACTACGTTTCACTCATCCTATTTCTTATTCTCTCTTTGAGCATTTGCCCTTGGAAATGGTATAAATAATGCTCTAATTGTAGCTTTGGAGCCAACCCAGTGTAACAGTTATCCTCTTGTTATTCACTCCGATATAAATATAGCTTACATACGGGTTTGGGATGAGGCAGATCCAGCTATGACTTCTGTAATGCATCCCTATCAGTTTTAGTTTCTTACTTCCTGAGCCTGTCATGATGCAGGTGAGAAAATGAGCCTAATGAAGAGACAGTTCAGCCAGGCAAAAAATACCAGTTGTTACTCAGAAACTCTGGCCAGTCTGCAGTGTTTCAGAATGAACTTTGTAAAGATTATGTGAATCGATAAAAGCATCACTTTAGATTGAGAAAGTAGAGTTTGAGTTTAGCTCAGCAATCTGACCGTAGCCTGTCCACTTGTACCAAGATGGTGCAATGTTGTTTAAAGAGTAACATGCTTACACCAGAGCCGCATCCTCTCAGAAAACCATTTATTGTCCTGCCTGCCACAGAGGCAGCTCAGATTGCTATTCTTTCAGATGAAAAGAAACCAGGTTGAAGTCTTGTACAAAACACAACTAACTTTACATCTTGTATTTCAAAGTATCAGAGCATTCAACCTCCAAAGCGCACCTAACAAAATGAAAGTGTTTAAAGGCAACAAGAGAGAACAGCAGTCAGCACCTTACAGAAAAAAAAGCACCTTCTGGGAACATACACGTTTTTTATAAGGCTAATCAGCACACTAAACAAAGGACCACTAGAAGTCAGTATTTAGACATTTATTTCAGATATGCAGTTTACACGCATATTATTGAGCAAAACTGAATTGCAAATATACAAATACTGTAACAAGCATTATCAAATAACATAACTGGCACTAGTGTTATAAGCATATTACTGAAACTGGTGAGGCTAAGTCATGGAAGAGGATTGCAGCTGATGGCATTTTCTTTTTACCCAACCAAACTTCCAGTAGCACCATAATGGCAATACATGAAACACAAGACAGAACATTGTTAACTGTTATTCTGATATGCACAAGTTTTTTCTCTTTTTCTTCATTTTAGTGAATTACATAGCAAAAAAATGTTAACAGTGCAGGCGCTTTGGCCAACTTCAGCTTGTGTTCAGCTGTACATCTTCCATATGCAAAAGGAAAAGAAAAAAGCCAGCATATTTGGAACCCATCTTTGCACTTGGGCAGTCATTGCACTGCACTTTGATTCTGGGACTGAAGATATGCATGTCTTGCAAAGAGATGTCACGTCCACTAAAGCCTGAGTGAGTCTTTGGTAGGCTAATACTTCATTATTATTATTATACATTTATCTACCAGAGTCATTTTATTCACTAGAATTTTCTTTTGTGATCCAAGGTGGCCAGAGAGGACATTCTGGAAAACATTACAGTAAAATCCTCAAACGACCAGGCACTTCAAACCCAGTCTTTTCCAAAGGCACCAAGAATTGATGGGGCACCGTTTTCCCCCCTAATGAAAGGTGACTGCATCTGCTTTTCTACAATGTTTATAAATCACTGGATTGTTATTTTACAGTTTTTATACTCTATCTAGTAGGCTTATCTGCTGCATGGTTGGTTGCATGAATAAATAAGTAACCCCACTGTTCTTCACAGGTGATGTCTCCATTCCACCATATATTAAGTACCAATATCTTCCGTTTCAAAATTATGTAAAATGCCATAACCTTGCTCAAGGTGTACACACGTATAAACACTTCTGACACAGGCTACATCCATCTGAAGATACGCGGTTCATTCTACATGCATTCTAAATACAGTGTGTCCAGTTATGAAACAAAATTATTATTATGAGTATTCACCGTTGAAATAGGTTTGTATAGGTCTCTGCAAAACTTTTGCTTCCCTTAAATAGAGTTCACACAAGAATGGCTGTAAGTCACTAACGCTCAGCTAACACCCATTTATCCCAAACCCCATATTTTCCAAGTGAACAGTGCAGGACATATTATTCATTTCAGCATTTAACATATTAAGAATTTACCAGTTTTTATCTAAATACACCAAGTATATGCTTTCAAGCAAAGTTGTGGCAAAAATACAAAACATGGACGTATTTGTACTGCTGTAATGCACTTGGTTAAAGCCTTCATGTCTCTTGACACAGGTCTAAGATCCATATGAAGTATTTTGCCTTATCAGACAAGTATATATAAAATGCAATTGTATCAAAACCTTGCTTCTGCTGGTCACCTGAAACTTACAGAAGTCGCATGTAATTCAACCAGCTTTCAGACAGGGTTCTTTAGTGGTAAATATATTTTTGCAGCACTTAAGAGGCTTAAATTTCAGTCTGAATAGCAGTGCTTAATTCCACAGCATGTTGTGAATGGTTGTTGTTTGTTTCTTTCAGTGTTTCACCAACACCTAAATCTACATCTTTCGAAGATCCATTATTAATGCTTTCCTCAGCAATGTAACTCAGCTGTGGAACATCAGTGCTTGGGGCTGTTGGAACAGGTGCCGGGATTCCACTCGGCTGTGGAGAGTTTTCCAAGCGATCATTTTCCACCTCTGGGAGAACACTAACTGTGGTAAAGCGAGTATGATAGTCGCTGGAACCATGGCTACAGGAAGTTTTCATACTTTCCATATCTGAGCAACTAAACTCAGAAAAATGACTCGAGTGAGAATCTGCTACAGATGGAATACTGTCGCTAAGAGAGGGAGAGTCAAATTCACTGGAGTTTGTGCTTTGTTGTTCCAACAGCTGAGCATCCATGTCCTCTCTTGTCTCATTTATCTTCATGCTACTCTTCTTTCTCAGCTTACCTTTACATTTTTTTCCTGCTGTTGTTTCTTTGGACCACTTGGTGGCACTAGATTTACTTTCTGGCAAGCAGGCCGATGAACAACCGGCATTACTACGACCTGCAGCACTGCCATCATCAACACTACTGCTTCCGCTGTTGTGTCTGAATTTGGCTGGCTTTGATTCAATATCCACTTGCACTTCCATACTGTTGCCTTCCCTACAACAAGAAAGAATCCGTGAGCATAAGTGGTCATCCAGAACAAGCCAGCTAACACAGCAAAACAAACTCTTACTGCTTTCCAAGATACACAGCAAAAGAAAGTTAGAGAAGATGTAACTTGTTTTATAAAAGTTAAGTGTTTAACCAAATAAACAGCCCACAGAAAAACAAGAAGTCTGAAAGGTCCAACGCTCACTGAGCTACAGCGATGGCATTCCTCTCTGGAAATAACCTTGGCAAATATAAGCAGTCACATGTAATTCAATTTGTAACAAAATTTGCAGTTTCAAAGGGTAATCATTAAAGTAGAACAGCTGAGGCATGCTTAGAATATCATTTAATAAGCAAGGCTTATTAATCTTCTATTTTCACCACGCTTCTCTTACCTGTCCAAAGGGATGTAGGAGTTCAGAATAGATCCTGCCATTGCTTTGGTACTGGCATTATCACTAACTGTTCCCAAGCTAACTGTGCCAGATTCTCCACTCAGACTGTATCGTTCTTTCTGCACATCTGCTTGTACTTCCAGTCTTGGAGAGAAAGAAAAAGAGTTGCATGTAACGCTGCCACAGTTAAAGCACACTATTTGAAAGTTAGTGTCACCTTGTAGAGTTTCTCCACCATTCAGTATTAAGTACAGTTTATTAGTTACTCCAGTACAGATTCGCATATTTATCCTACTGAAACAGGTTCTGTCTTCCCACTGTCAAAAATGACTACTTTCCGATTAAAAAAGCCAAAACCACCCAAAAGCAAAACGAGATTCATTTCCCAACAAAACAAAATGTTGCATGTTAACCAGAGGTTCTGGATTCTTTCCCCCCTGCAAGATTTACAGGAAAAACTTGCAGGCTTAGCTACAATTCTTTTGCAGATAGTGCACTGTACTCTAAAAATGGGAAAAACAATCAGAAGGGTACACAAGTTCAAGACATTATAGTTCCCCTGTTTCTCCAGCTGCCAAATTATTACTAATCAAATAACAGGAGAGAACTGTGTTCTGTATTCTACTTTATATTGTATTGTTATCAACTGCAACAGGAATAATAGAAACCTGAGCAATCTTAAGTTGGGCTGAGCAGATAAACCAGAAATCAAATTATAAGCTTTTTTCCAAATGCCTTGTTTATCTGTATTCTGACAGTAACTTAGAAGTGGGTTTTTGTTTTGTTTTCTACTCTCAGCTCTTTCAAGAAGAGGACAGGTATACCTCACTCAGCAGTCACAGCTTAAAATACACAAGGAAACTCGATGCTATCTTGCCCTCCTTTTTCTATATAGCCTGGACTTCCAAATTACTCAAGAAAATGAGCAGTGTTAGCACCTGATTTAGAAAGCAAATTCCATCCCAAACCCTAAATGTTAACAATCCTTTCTAGACACCCCCTTTCTCTTCAGGGTGCAGGACAGCCACCAAACCCTTAAGTCCCCAATCCACAGGAGGCACTGAGCATGTAAGTGGCAAGAAGTTGCCACCTCAGCAAGGCCAGGTGCCCAGCTGCCTCCGCTCCTGCCTAAGTCCATTTTGAATCCACACTCCAGCCAGGTGTTCCGAAGGCACAGCTTAATATTTGTAGACTACTGAACAAGTCAGCAGTTCTGACTTTGGGGTGAGATGCACTGGAGAACACAACTGTGTTAGGCATGAGGTGCCTTCCTCTGACTCCTGGGCGGAGGCTGCTCTCCTGGGAGGCAGGAAAACAAGATCACAGGCCCCACTCACCCTGAAAAAAATTCACACTCTTCTTTGAGGCCTGTGGTCTGGCATGATGTCTTGGAAATCAGCAAGTTTGTCAGAAATGAACTGTGTATCTCCCAGAGACAGTTCCTTTTAATAGCAACCAATTTAAAAAAAAAAAAAAATCAAACCCCCTAGTAATACCACTTCCTCTGCTTACATGCAGAGCAGGATAGTGTACGGTAGGAAGCATGTCTCTTACCTGTTAAAGCAGTTAACCATTGCACTTCCTGAGAGACTCCCTGTTATACTGGCCCCAGCCAGGGCCATGGTACTAGCGGTTTCACTTAGGTTGTCTCGAATGGCTCCTATTCTATCCATGTGGCTACCACTTGCACTCAAGCTGCCCGTCAGTCCTCCAACGCTTCCTTCGCCTATGCTAGGGTTATGACGTGCCTCTGCTACTGAAGTGGTATCTAGACAGAAATAAAGAAGGTTTGTCAGTTATGGAAGTAGAACTTGGTAGTTTCTAGAATGCGACTGTGGAAACCATTCCTGAAATTATGCTCAGAAAAAGGGTTTATAAAACATACTGTGACAAAAAGATAACTTTGTAAAAAACAAAGAGACCTTTCTTGAAGTTGCTATAATGGTTATGCCTGCCATCACATACTTCAGATACCAAGAAGTTAACCATCAATGGGACATGTAACACGGAGTCAAGGAAAACAGAGACATCCCTATCACAAAGGATATTGCCACATAATTAAAATAAAAATAGCACCAGATCAGCATTTAGTTCCCCCTATTATAGATAAAAAGATGAAAGCCAGCAAGCTTCCACAAACCAGCATCCTGAAAAAGCAGCATTAATTTTATCTTAAAACTTTTACTTATGGAAAAGACTTTACTCGAGTCTGGCTTTGATTCAAATAGGAAAGAAAAGCTTTAACGCTTGCATTACAGCAGAGCACAACATGAACACAGAGAAGCTGTTCTCATCTGAGAGCTGGTCTTTCAGCAACGAGTGGAGGTAGTCCTAACTGTATAGTACCTCTTCTGCAAATAAGTACTATAGTATCTAAGGCCAAATATAAGTCACAAAGCCCATATTTCTAGAAAATGAAACACAGAATTTTCTTACCTACAGCTGCATTTGTTCCACCAACATTTATATCATTTTCATCATCAAATTCTATCCTGACACCTTTTCCATTGCCTGCTGACACACCACAGCCTCCACTTCGGCAGAGGGAAATTGGAACAACTCCATACACGTAAGCCAGCATAATAGGAACACCAATACCTACAGAGGAAAGTAGAGTCTTTCATTAAATGTGACTTATATTTTAGAGCCTTCCATAAAAGCGATTTCATTTTCCATGATTACTTAATATTTCACACTTGAAAGAAATCAGGAGGGAGCAAAATTAAGAAATATTGTTAAATCACTAAGGTGGCAGAATGTCCTCTATCAGCATTGGTAGGCAAAAAAGCTTAATGCTCGATGAGTTAATACTTTCAGTACATCCATAACATCTTTTACAAACAAAATGAAAATACTTTAAAGGTTCTTATCAGCTCCATTGGGGACTGTAATAATGTTCCACCTGAGAAGCAGAAATAGCAGAGATCTATTTCAAATGTTATTAAACTAAAAATGTTACTACCTTTACTAATTTAATAAGGGGCTTGATTTTACATCCAGTGAAGTCAGACAGGGCTTTGCTATCAATTTAATAGGACTTAACATTATTATTACTGCGGGATCTTTCATATTTATTGTATCACACTGATTCAATTTAAAAATTTTAATTATACAAGTTTTCCTTAAAAGTAAATAATTCCGTGGAGCGGAGTGGCAGGAGTTAAGGGAAACCAGTGAAAGGAACTGGGGGCTAAAGTGCACGCAGATATACATCCATCCATCCCACCGCTTCTACTGGTCTGTAAAAGTTATTCCTTTGGCATATGAATTAAACCATTTTATGGCTTTGCTGATGAAAGTACACAGAAGGTACAGAAAAAATGGTAGACTGAAAAATGGCAAGATGGCACATTCTGCATAAGTCGGGACAGAGGCAGACCCAAGGCAAAGGCTCCTCCGTCTAACCTAAAAGAATAGTTCCAGTTTGTAAGAAAGTCCCTTTTACTAGAAATTCCTCAGCATTCAAGGAGGAAATCCATATTCTCAGGGTCATTATTTTGGAAGCCATATAATGCCCTGAGACTGGCAATGGGGCAAGAGTAAAAACTCCACAAAATAAAACCCAACTGCTTTCCCTAAAAAAGCCGAGTTTTATCTCTGGCTGGGAGTAAGAAACAGCTCGGAAGAATGAGGTAAAGCAGACCTGTAACTACATCTATGAGACTTTGTGTCCCACTACCTGTTTAGCAGGGATCTGACACCACAGCTACCTGAGAACAATGCAATGCAGACAGAAACCAGAGACTGTTTTATCACTAGCATATCTGCATTTGCACCGTGGTCCACCATTGTTAACAAGCAGTTTAGAGCCACAGCTTCATGGCCAATTTAAACCATCACTTGCTACAAGTTGCCCTGTCTTCCTAAGGCCACCCATTCCTCTCTTGAGCATTACTTCTGGGACAAGGGGGAACACTGCATACATGCGTGATGAATTGGATCAGGGGACTGATCCAGCTTAAAACTAAATGGTGGGTCTTAACATGAATCAGTTATCCACGGCAGCTTACTGTGCAACTGTAAAGATGCCTGTGCTGCAACAAAGGAGAAGCAAGGCAGTGCTGGGCAAGTCCATCCTTTCAAAAGAAAAAGAATCAGGGCTTGTTTACAGCAATCTTGAAATTACATGGTATTTTGCAGTGTACAGCCAGATTTTCCTCAAATGCTACCCTCAACAATCCCTGTGAGAAAGAACGTGATAGAACTCCAACTGACTCCCAGAGCATAACAAATAGTTTGTCAACTACTGTCATGTTAAGTGTAAGAGACTCTGTTTTTCTTCTGTGTTGAGAAAAGTTTGATATGAAGTTACTTGAATATGAATAGACTCTGTGGTCAGTCATCTAAAAAAGCTTTAAATACTTCAGTTTTAAAAGCCAGATATGACAATGTGGAAACTTCAATTTGCAAGATAAAAATTATTTTTAATTCTTCATTTTAATGCAGCATTTCCCGAAGCACTGAATTCTCCATTCTGCCCCAATAAACGTATAACCTCAGACAACTCATTGTCTCAGTTCTTCCACCTATAAAAGGAAACTATAGGACTTCTCAGACATTTTATTCATGAGTGCTTACAGAGTTCTGTTTGCAAGGTGCTACCAATACCCAAATTAGTAATATTTGCTTACCTACAGTTACGGCAGCTACAACCGGAGAAACAATTACAGATAAGGTTACACCACCTGCTATAGCCAAGTTTCGCTTGTGCTTTGAAATATCTTTGCCTTCATACCGATTGTGAATCTTGAGAGAAGAAAAGAAGAAAGGGTTTTTAGAGTATTAGCATCTTCAATAATACATTGCTGCAAGGATGGAAGAACTGACATATAATAGTTTGGAATCTGTACCCTGCTCTCTTCCAGAGAGACCACATTCTATGTCATGATTTATTCCTTAACTTATCTCAAAGAAAAGAAAGTCTATACATTTCTTAATTTTAGGCAACTTCTTAAAAGCTAGAAGTTCTCCCATCCAGCAACTAAGCATTTACTTTCATCCTCAAGTTAGAAGAGCTAAATCATTGAACAGCTTGCTTTGTTTCTTTGTTTAATCATTACTCCAGCTTACATGGTTGGGAAAAGTAGACAATTTTCAGGATAAAAGAATCACTACATCCAACCAAACTGACACTTCTTATTCCCAGCCATCTTTCCCCTGAACAATACAGAGTGAGACTTTCACAGATTATTAGATCCGTGGAAACGGAGCCACGAAAATCTTGTAATAAGGCAGCCTTCACCAAACATATCCTTGGAGGGGGGAGAGCAAGAACTCCGTTGCTCTGGCACCCTCTCACGACAAGCTGTTGAGACAGGAAATATTTTAGCAAACCCGGGACTCAGCTGTGCTACTATTTACTGAGGAATCTGCTAACCAAAACCCTTACTGATGGTTCAAGTCTGAGGCAGTCACATTTCACAGCTAACACAAACTTCTCTGCCACAAATGAACCTGAAAGGCCTTCAAACATCACCGTTTTACAGAGATTTCCTACTTCTTGTGTGTTTCATTTACTCTCTAGGAACATGGCTCTTCAGGGATATGCACTTCATCTGTCATCATTCTTGGTTAAGACGTAATTACAAAGGAACAATAGGTCGCTATATTAATGGTTGTCATGAGGCTAAGTTAATCCTCACTACATCTAAGGAGGAACACAAAAGAGAGTACTAAGAGGATAAGCACAGTATTTTTATAGCAATTTGCTACTGCAAAAAGAGTGACAAAAATGAGGTGGAAGTTTTATTAAATGTTGTGCTTTCTAAATTATAATTTCAATTAGAGATTTGGTAGGGTAGTTCTCATTTTGGAATAAGCTTGAAGTATCTGTATTTGTTCAGGCAAGACAGGCAAGGAAAGGGCAGAGAAGACACTGCACTTTGTATAACGAGAATGCATTTAGTTGCTCTGAAGTACTTTATACAAAGATCAACACGGAGTGAGGGAGCACCTGAATGTGGAACACACCTATGGATTAAAAAGGAAAAATTGAACATGAACACTCTCACAGTACGAGCGTGTAAGAATTACAAACCCAGGAAGATCAGGTTTCATGGGGCTCTATAAGCAATTAGCAGGATCACCTCAGGCACTGAATTTTACTGTTATGGGCAATTTTAACTACCGAAACAAAAAGCATACAAAGATATCTATAAATGCTACTGAATTCCTTAAACATAAAACAACAAAAATGAATGGAAGGCAGTGGTTACAGAGGAGAAACTAACTGAAAACCAGAAAATAGAAGGTTACATTGGTAGGAATGACTGTGAAATAAGAGTCTTCCAAATATTGAGTAAACAATAAAGACTATCCAAATAAAAACAGTGGGCCAGAAAAAGAGGGATTTCCATAAATGCAGAAAACTGGTAGGTTACAAGACCTCTATCTATAAAAAGAGCACAAGTACAAACTCTTCCAATGCAGAAGACAGACAGAATGTGAAAGAACAACGAAGTTTCCTTTACTGAAGCAGCAGCAGCATTAAGAAAATAGAAAGTAGGTCAGATTACTATGAATGGGTATAAAGGAACAGCATGAGGGTGTCAGGATAAGATCAGAAAGGTTAAAATAGAGGAGACAAAAAGCAAGCGACATCAAAGTCAACAAGGAATTATTCTACAAGTACACTGCTAGTAAGAGGAAGACCAAAATGGATCAATTTGTTATTTAACAAAAAGGAAAGACAGCCAGTGGATGAAACTGGAGGCCTGTTCCATTTTTTTTTCCCTTCAGCTGTCACTAAAGATCAACTGTGAGCCAGGTGACTGGTGACAAAGGAGTAAGATCTGTAGGAAAACAGCAGGTTAGAGCGTACTTACATGAGCTGATTGAAAAATATCTCAGCAGGCCCAATTTCAGAGCCCCTAATAATAATCTTTGAAAATTATTATTCACAGATGATGTCTGAAAAAAAAAATATCAGGAAAACTGGAAAAAGTTAGACTGCAGTGATAATCTTTAAAAAGGTGTAAAACAAGAAGCTGGGGAATTAAAGACCAGTGAACTGAACTTCAGTTTCCTGAAAACTGGGAACCTGTAGACACCAAAGCAAATGTAGGAAATAAAGAGACCACACTGATTTTTCTCAAGTAGAAATCATATTGATTTATTTTCTTTCTATGGCAAGCCTTGAGGATGGGGAGAAGCAGATGTCACGCACTGACTTCAACAAAACTTTGATGTTTTCATGTATGACACTCAACAGGTCGTAATGGTCCAGACTGAAAAGTGGACTAGAGAAAACTATTAGCTTCATGTAAAACAGATAGAAAACATCTGAGTTGTCAACAGTTTGTTTTACTCCCCAAATTGAAACTCTTCACCCTATTCTCTTCCAAGAGATATGCCCTGGATCCAAGAGTATTCAACATTTTCATTAACCTGGAAGATGGAAGGAGAAGAATGTGCATGTTGCATTTCAGGCCAATACAATCTGGCAAGGTTGCAAGAATGCTAGAACTCACACTAGTCTTGAGAATTTGAAAAAATGGCCTGAAATTACTAAGATGCAGCACAATGGTAATGAGTTCAAGACTACCCTTACAAAGAGACCAACTGCCTAAATTACCAGTATGGTGGAGAAGGGTATGTGTTTTAGAGTACACAAAATGAAAATAGCATGTTGTTGAGAAAGAGATAACTGGCAGTTATATGCTCAGGATCATCCTTTCATTTAACTCGGCAGCCGTAATGCTTCAGCTTCACTGCTATATTCAAACTGGACAAAAATGAAGGCGGTATGAACAACTGGAAGGAAATCCAGAAGAGAAGATGAGAAACAGAGGTCTAAACCAGTGTGTTTTCTTGACAGTTTGTGAAGAAAAACTGGAGGTGCTAGGTTTGTTTAGAGACAAGAATGAAAGTGGACTTAAAAATCAAGTATGTAATGGGATACTGCAAAGCAGAATGATTATGTCACCCAAAGACAGGGCAGTAAGAATTTAGTGTGGGACGAGAATTTATATTAATGTTAGAAAAATTCAATTTTACTATGAAAATTAGGCTTGGAGAGCCTGTGGAATCCCCATCATCAGATGTTTTGAAGAAGAGTACAAACATCTGACAGGAGTCACAGAAAAAATGACCATTAACAGTGAGGTACACTGGAAATTCTCATGAGGCTGCCCTCACAGACTAACATTCTGAGACTTCACCATTAACACATGAAAGGTGCTCAGTGATGGGGACCTATCCCAAAAATCTAATGAAAAAAGCAGAACTTGCAATAGGAATCTGAAACAGGTAACTGCTGCCTTCTTCCTCTTATCATTTATAAGGTTCCAATGACTGTATGGGACTAAGACAAAACAGAATAGAAGGGTCAAAAAACAAATGTAGTGGAAGGTAAGAGTACTTGCTTGAAAAGATGAAAAAGAATACAGTGGAAAAGCTGCATCCCTGGACTTTTTGTCCAGCAGCAACAGCTCATGTGGGAGAGGAACACTCCCACCCGCCAATAAATGTAGAATTATGTGTCTGTGCCAGCCACTGTGAGAATACATGCTGGTAACAGCAGAAAAACAAATCTTCTGATTATTCCACCCAGCACACGTAACTGAACGCTTAGCACCTGCTG